GATCTTACAATCATGCGAAAGCATCAATTGTGTGCAAACCTCAAGAAGTGTATATTTGCAGCAAGCGAAATCCCACTTCTTGGGTGCATCGTTGGTAAGAACTGTGTACGTCCTGATCCCGAAAAGATCAAGGCAATCACCGACTGGCCTGAGCCGGTTGATGTCAAAGGTCTTCGAAAATTCCTTGGGCTAGCGGCGTATTTGCATAAGTTTTCACGCAATTACGCCGAGATGACTGTACACCTCTCTGGTTTAATGAAAAAGAACGAGAGGTGGTTATGGAACGCTGAATGTCAGCGCTCCTTTGATGGTATCAATCAGATCTTGATACAATCCCCAGTCCTAGCAATTGCCGATCAGGTCAGGCCATTTCATGTGGTCTGTGATGCCAGCGATTTCGCAATCGGCTGTGCAGTAATGCAGTACGATCTTGAAGGCGTTAAACACGTCGTCTGCTATCAGTCGCGTCAGCTGCAACCAGCTGAGCGGAACTATCCAGTGCATGACAAAGAACTCCTTGCCATGAAGTATGCACTCGAGAAGTTCAGAGTCTATCTATTAGGAGATAGATCCTTCATTGTTTACACTGACCATGCGTCATTACGCACGGCAGCGAACAGCCCGCACCTTTCACAACGAATGGCGCGGTGGTTGTCATTCTTTGCAGAATAAAACTTTACGGTCGAGTACAAACCAGGACGACTTAATGTCGTCGCTGATGCACTCTCACGTCGTCCCGACTTTGAACCAGTCGTGAAACCCAACAGTGAGACAGTCACTGTTGCGGTTATGACGTCCTCAGTCCCATCTTCAACGTTGCATGATGATGTGAGGCGGGCATACGCCCAAGATGGTGAGATTGTGAAGTTGTTGACACATCTCTCCCAACCATCTCGAGAATCGTTGAAACGATTGTCGCCTGCGTATCGATCTGCATCAGATCGATACACTACTCGTAACGGTTTACTGTATTATACAGCCGTTTCTGGTGACACACCACGTGTTGTCATCCCAGATGATACTTATCTGCGTTTGCGGATCATGTTCGAGTATCACGATGCTCCTATAGGAGGACATCGTGGCCGAGAGAAAACATATCTCACGGTGAGTCGAGACTTTTACTGACCCCGCCAGATCAGTTTGTGCGCAAGTACGTTCGCGCATGCGAAGTCTGTCAACGAGTGAAGTCAAGTCCTTCACTACGTGCACCTTTACAGCCTCTACCAGTTCCGGCTGAGTGGTGGGAATCCATCTCAATGGATATTGTCTTCGGGTTACCCAAAGTCGCACGCGGGAACGGGTATTCTCGTATTGGTTGACAGATTCAGCAAAACGGTACATCTAGTGGCTGTACCAGAGTCAATCACGACTAGTGGCTGTGCTTGTGTCTTTATTGACACCATCTTCCGACTTCATGGGTTTCCCCGTGAACTCGTATCAGACAGAGATCCACGATTCACTGCTGATTTCTGGTGTTCCGTGTTCAAATCACTCGGAACGCGCTTGAAGATGTCTACATCTGATCATCCAGAGTCAGATGGTCAGACGGAACGTGCCAATCGCGTCATAGAAGAGATAATTCGAGGATACGTACACTCCTTTAAGAGTTGGAGTGAGTTCTTGCCCGTGGTAGAGTTTGCCATTAACAACTCGGTGCATCCGTCCACGACACATAGACCGTTTTACGTGAATGGCTTACGCCATCCGCTTGTAACCACCTTACTAGAGTGTAACTCTGGTTTAAGGGGGGGGGGAATCGCGCGAGCAACAACCAATTTGGTTCACGCTCATCACGCTCTGACGAAGAGGTCATTGCGTTTGATGCCGATATCGATAACATCGATATCGAAGAAGATGATGCCAGTGAGAGTGCGGAAGCCCTCACTGAAGAAAAGATTGATGTTTCTGCAGTGCAGTCACAGCGCACTGAAGCTAACGAGTCATCAGATGAGTTCATACTGGCTCGTGAAACGGTAGTCCGTTTTGTGCAAGACTCCATCGCCGAAGCGGTGGATAAGCAAAAGCAAAACGCTGACAAGAATGGAAGGGCAAACACTCTTTCATTTAATAAAGGTGACTTAGTCCTACTGTCTACGGTTAATCTACCAAAGCATGTAGTGACTAAGTTGGGTAGCAGTAAACTACTACCCAAGTACATCGGCCCATCTCGTGTATTGCACCGTCTAGGCAATGCATACACGATCGAGTTACCACGTAAGATGCGAACGCATCCCACGTTTTACGTTGGTCGGCTTAAGCCTTACCATCAGTACGCTGCTTCTTCCGATGAAGAACACCCTTGCGCTCAATCACCTTACAGAGAGCCTTGTGCTCCCGATGGTGGGCATCGACAAGGGTCTGAAGAGCGGTTATCTCATCCCGAGACCGATCAACAATCCCACGAGCTACCCTCAGCTCGTCACGAAGAGATGTTAGAGCTCTCTCGTTCTCAAGCTGAGCAAAGGCAAACTCAGCTCGATGCTTCAAGACAGTGTCCGCCAGTTGGAGATACCTGTCCCGCTCATGTTCGAGATCGCCGCGTAACCCTTGCGTTACGCGATCAAAGAAGCTCTCGAGAACACACGGATCCCCACGATCGTGTGGAGAGCGTCTTCCCTCCTCCTCCACCTCCATTAGAGGACTCTCGCAGTGGCCAGCGCTATCTAGTTGAGCAGCTGTTGAACCACCGCGACGTGAACGGACGTTGGACGAGTTATCTCGTCCGGTGGCGCGGCTATCCCCCGTCCTGGGATACTTGGGAGCCCCGCTCCCAACTGATGGTTGACGTACTGGGTCTGGTTGAGCAGTGCGACGCGGCACATCCTGTGCCGCAGAAGGACCGCCGGAGAAAGTCTTCCCGGCACGGTCGTAAAGGGATTTCAGGTTGTCAATCCCTTCGTACATCTCACTAGAGATACGTACGCGCCACCACGGGCTAGTAGGAGGTAAGCCTCCTTAGGTGCTCGTGCAGAGTTGTTCACACAACATGGGCACAATTCTCCCCAAGAGAGGCAAGGTAATCCTTTCTCCCTTGACAGACGATGCAGCTTGTAGCGTGCACCTGTCGGGGTTCGCTTTTCAAACTTATCACGAGCTTTGATAAGATTGTCGTTCCAAACTTCACGACCTACATCCTCAAGGTTGTGGATGCAGGCGTTCCACGCTTGAAGCAGTGAGGGACCATCACGCTTGTGATTCCCACTGTACCATCGATGTCTAAAGAAAGCATCGATGAAGAAATCATTCTCAGCGTGATTGTTTTTCGCACTGGGGTCAAGGTGATGGATCCTTGACGAATCGAACAACCGTGTTCGATAACGATCACTCGTCGTCGCCGACAAGTGATCCATGATGGATTTGGGAGGCATCCATGCCTTCTTCTCGGGAGCGAGACGCAATACACTGCGGTCCCGCTCTTCTTGCGACGTGCAGACAGAAGGACTGGCACCTCGTTGCGAAGTGGTGTCAATAGGAGAACCGACACCACTGTTAGCGCCCGAGTCTCGCGACCTCGAGCGCCTTCGCTTCGGCGATGGTTCATCTGATTCATCGGATGAACCGAAGATGCTGCGACGCAAAGCATCATCCATGCCACGCTTGGCAGGCGGCTTGGATTCGATCGCCGTCGATACGGATCCGTCTTCCGTATCAGGAGAGTATGAGACACCGAGCTCATACTCTGTGAAGACATGAGTGTCTTCATGACCAGCGCCTGCATCACCAAGTGACACAGGCTGAGTCGCTTCAGCAACCGATGAGACATCAGTTGCTGTGGTTTCTGCTTCGGCGTCCGCACAGAGACGTGCGGACGCGCTCTCGGCGGCCTTGCTCGCGCATCGCATGGGCTTGTTAACCATGCGATGAATTGTTGGAAAGTGGACTCGGACCAACAAGTGCAAACCCCGTCCCAAATGATTTGGGACGAGAATCCACTTAGTCAATCAGTCACTAAAGTGACTGATGGTTAAGGGGGGGGGGGTGATGTAACGGGGTGAATCGTTACATAACAAGTTATAAGAAATTGTTAATAGAATAGAACTATAAGAGTCATGTTCTCAGAATATTGTCATAAGGACAAATATTCTGCAGCACTTACGAGTAGTTCCTAATTGGTTGATATAGGCCATTATATCAACCTACGAAGACGCGCCACGACAGACGCACGCAATGAGTGGTGAGCAGATAGTTGATATGCACATTTGTATTCAGACATAGTTAGATGAGGATAAACAGTGATTTATTAACAGACATTAACTATGATAAATACAGTTCTACTTTTTACTTAAACTGAGTACTCGCTTCTTCTTACCGTCTTCCTCTGCACGTACGAGTGTAGGTGAATTTACGAAGCACCGCCTTATTCTGTCATCAGAATAAGTAGCTTGTACTGTCACCAGTACAAGCTTCAGGGTGCCCCGTTACAGATAGCTCCTATGCTGAGGTCATCCAACCTGTTGAAGGCACGAAGGTGGTACGTCTTACACGACGTAGCAGGACCATCAAGACATATCAACTTTTTCACTACAAGGTTGTATGGTGCTGGTTGACAAGTGATTCATGCGAAAATCGAGAAAGTTCTCCGATGAAACGTCGATAGGTATTCGCCGACTGCTTTACACGATTGCTTCATAGTCGGAAGTGAAGGGGGCATCACTGACGTTAGTCGTACGCACCAAAAGATGACTTTTAGTGTCTTTTGTATGCGGACAAGTGCTATAGCTTACATCTAATTGATCGTTTCGATCAATTGATTGCGGGAACAGGACAACAAGCGGTTCATTTTTGTAGCACAGCAGCTTACAATAAATTAAATTGCCGTGAGTCAGTCCCATCAATATGGGCACCTTTTGACATGTGTTGCAGCGGATATTAATTTAGAGAAATTTTGCAGCTTCAGTCCAAATAAAATCACTTAGCCAAGGTACGTAGGGCAAAAGGAGCGACGCCGACCATTGGCGGTCGAAGCTGCTTGTTTTTGAGCACGACTCGTTGCTGCTGACATGTACAACCGCCGTCGCAGCACGAAGAACGTACAGACGACGCGTTTTTCTCTCCTGCTTCTGGAGGTCGGCGAATGGTTTTTGGACGTACGCAAGCGCTGTTTAATTTGATTATTAATTATGAGGTTCACAGTGGCACCCCACCCCGTATTAATCAACCTTGCTACTGAAATGCAGGACCATAGTGCGTGTCAGTATTTAAAGTCAAGTGCTTGTACATCAAAAAACGTACCTGGGCGGATCAAAGTGTGTACGCGAGGACTATTTTTTGTGCCTCACGACATGCAAGTACCCATTTTGCGGTTCCCATTTCGCTTTATGGATTTTGAACCCATGGCCGAATGTTTTGTACAATTGCTATCTCCATCGGATACATCAAATAGTAATGATACAAATACTGGACCGGTGATATACTTGACGTTCAAGACCCAGCAAGTACTGGCAATGCGAGCGCGAGGCATTGACCATCCGTACATTTGCCTAAAAACTACCAACAATGTCGACGACACTATCAACTGCAATGCGCAAAGTAAGAGCAGCAACAATTTATTCTCCGGTGAGGACAAAGTGCCAGCCAAGTATATATTCACGCTGCAGCATGTGACTGTTGAGGCATTCCTTGCCAGCATTCACGTCATCTACGAGGTATCGACTTTTTCTTCACGGCGACGTTTGACTGCAGCGGAAGAAAACGCTTTTTTGGCTCCAGTGTTGACACCGAGGTTGACAAACAAATTTGACCCGAGCTTGCTCGTTGATTTTCGCGAAATATTATTGATGGATAGAGGGTGCGTTGTAGACCGCATTAAACCGTTGCTCAAGTTTCCTGGCTGCCTGATGCTGACGACCGAGAGGGTGTACTTCCAGCCAGCTTTGCTGAACAATGTGCTGGATCCTGTGCTGAAGTGGGAGTATACGGATGTCGACCAGGTATATAACCGACGCTACCTTCTTCAGCAGACTGGGATGGAGATATACTTGAGCAATGGAGACAGTTTCTTCTTCTCCTTTCGATCGCAGGCGGAGCGTGACGATTTTTACACACTTCTGATGGGACAACCAGACCTGCAACGTTGTTGCCGTAAGGACTTGCGGTATATGATGCGTCGATGGCAACAACGTGAAGTGTCGAATTTTGAATACTTACTTTTTTTGAACAATGCCTCAGGCAGGACGCGCAACGATCTGACACAGTATCCTGTTTTTCCGTGGATATTGTGCGATTACACAAGCCCAGAGCTTACTCTTGATGACCCGAGGGTTTACAGAGATCTGACGAAGCCGATTGGAGCACTGAACGAGGAGCGTCTCGCGTATTTCAAGGCGAGATATGAAGGCATGCCTTCTGGTGTAGAAGCGGAAGGGATGCCTCCTCCTTTTTTGTACGGGACGCACTATTCCACTCCCGGTTACGTGCTCTATTTCCTTCTGCGGGAGGTTCCGCAGTACATGTTATGCTTACAAAATGGGAGGTTTGACGCGCCGGACCGTCTGTTTCATAGCGTCAAAGTTACGTGGGACGGTTGTCTGTCGAATCATACGGATGTTAAAGAACTTATTCCCGAGTTCTTCGACTGCACATATCCAGCAGATGGGTGGTTACGGAACATAAAACACCTGGATCTAGGAAGTAGGCAGAATCGTGATCGTGTCGATGATGTGGTGCTTCCGCCGTGGGCGCATGGCAGTGCAACCGAGTTTGTACAAAAGAATCGTGCGGCGCTTGAAAGCGACTACGTATCAGATCACTTGCACCACTGGATTGACTTGATATTTGGTTACAAGCAACAGGGAAAGGAAGCTGTAAAGGCCAATAACTGTACGTCTGCGCTGCACGTTTTCCTGGCATTTCATTGCCATGTAATAACACGCGTTTTCTGGACTGTTGCTGTTAGTATTTTACTATTTATCATACGAGGGGTCGGTGGACGTACAAGCTGTCGATGATCCGGTGCAGAGGTGCTCATTAGAAGCACAGATTCAGGAATTTGGACAGACGCCAAAGTTGTTGTTCTCTACACCCCATCCGTCTCGAAACGAGAGTGACGTGGAGATCGAGGTGGCTACCCCCGACTTGCTTGTATCGCCACGAGTGCTGGTTCCTTCCGTTCGCAAATCCCTTTCCCTCGATAGCATGTCCCAGTTTCATGCTGTCCATCGAAACAAAGGTACACGAAATGCTTTCGAGATCTACACTGAGTCCGAAGATGAAGCGGAAGAAAGCTCATCGCTAGGTTATTATCGTCAGAGTAATCGCCGCCGATACAGCCTCATTTGTTTGCGGACTCCCTCAACTTGCTTTCCGATCAATACTGAAGGGGTCTCCGCCTACTTGCGTAGAACCACAAGATCAGGCATGGCATGCAAAAAGTGGAATTGGAGATCCAGACTCCGAACGAAGTACAGCCTGTCCGCGTCGTGGGGTTGGAAGCAAGTTTCAGCCAGCCAGTTGCACGAAGGGGAAGTCACGAGCATTGTTCTCTCCAAGGACGGCTCTTTTATATTAACAACCAGCAAGGACAGCTCACTGAAGATATCTACGACCAAGACTATAACTCCGTTCCGCAGTTTGTCAGGCGAATGTGCGCTTTCGTGCTGTGATCTCTCCCCCGATGAAGGCATCGTGCTTTATGGGTCATGGGACAACAGCGTGTACATGATCTCAGCAACAACGGGGCTAGTGCTGGATTCGGTATTCGCACACTCCGACGGTATCTCGGCAATACGTGTCTTGCAAAATCGCTTCTTGACAAGTTCGTGGGACTCCAGTATTAAGCTCTGGAGTTATACGACAAAGCACATCCACGTCACACCCATTCAAACCTTTCTGGACTGTGAAGAGTCCGTCTTGTGCTTGGCTGTCAGCACCAATGAGCAATTCGGTGCAGCAGGGACTCGAAATGGGTCCGTCCGCGTGTTTGATCTTGACGCCGCTGTGCTTTACAGCCACAGTCAAGTGGCTTTGAAAGAGCTTTCACACGGGATTTCGTCAATCTCGTTTGCCAATGACAATAAGTCGTATGTATGCGCCACCATGCAGAGCGAGGTGCTTCAGTTGAACCTGCGCGGTGAAAAGCTATGGAGCATGGAGTTCCACACAGCAGGTCCAGTCCAGTGTTTTGACAGTGACGGTGACTATGCCATCGGTGGCACGAGTGCCGGCACCATTGTGTTCTGGAAGTTGCATGAAAAAGCTGGTACCGAGGTGGTCTTTGAACTCCCGCAAGCACACGATGCGAGCATCACTTGTCTAGCAGTTAGCTGGTCCGGCTCAATGCTCGTGTCCGGCGCTCTTGACGGGTCAGTGCACGTCTGGAAACTCGAGAAGAATTCGTCGGTACGTGATACGGCACTCGTTCCTCTCGGTTGCTCTCGAGAGTCACCGAAACGGCAAGATAGTGGCACATCTACGTCCACTACTAGCACGTCAACATCTCTGCAACTTCAACATGCCAAGTCGAAGAGGAGACCGTATCACCGTTTCGATGGGCAGGATGCTTTTCATCCCATTGTGCTACTTGCAGAAGCACAGGGCTGTCTCGGGTTCTAGCCCACCTTTGCTGACCCGGTTAGCTTTGCTGGTAGCTGGTTGTGTATAAAGTTAGAAGGTGTGTTTTGATGTGATCATTTGGTGCCGTCGAATGAACGAAAGCAGTACGCATTACAGCACAGTTGACATTTGTCTCTCTCTCTCTTTTTATAACCGCTGAAGTAACACTACGACGACGTCTTGGCCAATGAAAACCCGAACACGAACCAATCCACTCGGACGGAATCCAATGGCTACCTAGATTTCAATTTATCCATCCGTCGATCAATCTATCCATACATCCATCTATTATCCCAATATCCACCCAACACACACTGACGAAGGCGATGAACGAGTCGTCTCTATACGACGAGTTCGGGAACTACATTGGACCGGAGCTTCCAAGCAGCGATGAAGAGTCTTCTTCTGCTTCTGAGAGTGACAAGGATGTCTCATCTGACTATGGAAGTGACGCTGACGGTCCTGCGCGAGCAGTATCGTCACTGACGCTCGAGACCACTCCTGCAGATGATAATCGTAACCGGGGTACTATTATCCACGACGAGCAGGCAATTATCCTACATGAAGATAAACAGTATTATCCAGATGCGCGCCAAGTGTATGGCAACGAAACCGAGCTTTTGGTTATGGAAGAAGACGCGCAGACGATTGAGACGCCGCTCGTTGAACCGGTCAAGATAAAATCCTATTCCAAGCACATGGATAAAATCCCACGCACGACGTATTCGACGGCATTTCTCACAAGTCTCATGGACTCGCCGTCGCTGCTGCGACATGTGGCGATTGTTGGGAATTTGCACCACGGGAAGACGCTTTTTGTGGATTTACTCGTGCAACAAACACTTGTAGAGCAATGGATAAAAGCCGATACCGAAGCCGAGACGCTGGACAAGCGCTTCACCGACACGAGACACGACGAACAGCAGCGTCGCGTCAGTATCAAGAGCACGCCCCTGTCGCTCGTGCTGCCGACGTCTCGAGGAAAACATTATCTGCTGAACGTCTTGGACTGCCCTGGCCACGTGAATTTCTCTGACGAGACAACCGCCGCGCTGCAGATTGCGGACGGAGCTGTGCTGGTCGTGGACGCTATTGAAGGCGTGATGATGAATGTGAGCTGGGGGCTGCAAGCGGCTTTTTTGTTGGGAGGAGGTTTCTGACGGTTGTGCTGCCGTTTCTGATGGTGTGATGTTTTGTTGTTGCTGTTGTTACGTTGATGTATTGTAGACGGAACGGGTGGTCCGAGCAGCGTTGCGAGCTCATGTGGCGATCGTGTTGGTGCTGAACAAGGTGGACCGGTTGATTATTGAGCTCAAGTTGCCACCGGCTGATGCGTACTTTAAATTGCTGCACACAATTGGCGAAGTGAATGCGATTATTGACACACACACGCCAGCGGACCAGAAAAAGCAGCGGCTGTCACCGGAACTGGGCAACGTGTGCTTTGCCTCAGGGCAGCACGGATGGTGCTTTACACTTGAGTCATTTGCACAGATTTATGCCGAGACGTACCCTGGTGTTCCGTCAGCGACCTTGGCAGCGCGGTTTTGGGGAGACAAGTACTACAATCCGCAGACGAGGACGTTCACGAAGAAGTCGGTAAGATTGACGCTGTCAGAACTTTGCAGGACGGTTGTTAGGGTATTTTTATGTATAGCTTGCTGACGGGTGGTGTGCTTGTAGCCATATCCGGGTGCGTTGAGGTCGTTCATCCAGTTTGTCCTGGAGCCACTGTACAAAATGTACTCGAAAGTGCTCAACGGTGATCCGAAAGAGCTCTCGGCATCGCTACGGGCCATGGGAATACGTTTAAGAAAAGAAGAGCTAAATCTGAACCCGCGGCCGCTGCTCAAACTTGTCCTTGGCAGCTTTTTTGGGAACGTGACGTGTGGTTTCGTGGATATGGTCGTGGCTCACGTTCCTTCACCGCTTGCGACAGCAAAGACCAAACTCGCAAACGTTTACACAGGAAATCAGTCTTCTGAATTGAGTATCGTGCGAGGTATCCAGTCTTGCGACCCGAAGGCGCCTTTGATGATCAATATCGTGAAACTGTACTCATCACCAGATGGCACGACGTTCAGTGCTTTTGGCCGCGTGTACTCTGGCGAGGCTCGCGAAAACAAGGATGTTAAGATCCTGGGCGAAGCGTATAGTGCTGAAGATGACGAGGACATGTGCACGCGGACTATTGGAAGCGTTTGTGTCGCCCAGGGACGATACAATATCAAAGTGAACCGCATTCCAGCGGGCAACTGGGTGTTACTTGAAGGCGTGGACGCGTCGATTACAAAAAGTGCTACCATCACTGATGCCGACTACAACCTGCTACAGGATGAGGAAATCGGCATTTTTCGACCTATTCACATGTCTTATGGCACGACTGCTGTAATGAAGCTTGCCGTTGAGCCGCTGAACCCAGCTGAACTACCTAAAATGCTGGAGGGACTGCGGAAGATTAGTAAGAGTTATCCACTCGTTCGCACGAAAGTGGAGGAGAGTGGTGAACACGTGATTCTGTGCACGGGCGAGCTGGCCGCCGACTGCATCTTGCACGACCTGCGGCGAATGTATGCAGAGATAGAAATCAAGGTTGCAGATCCCGTTGTCGCTTTCTGTGAGACTGTCGCTGAGACGTCTTCGGTGCAGTAAGTTGTAAAGTCGATGCTGCCTTTTTGTGCAGCCATGTGTTGTTGACAAGCGCTTGTTCGTCTCCCTTTTGTGCTCAGGTGCTTTGCCGAGACCCCGAACCAGAAGAACAAGATTACCATGATCTCTGAGCCACTGGACGCAGGTCTTTCGCAAGATATTGAGTTGGGTGCCATTAAGCTCGACGTACGTCTTGCTTTCGATCGAAATCAGTGGCGGTGCAATGTGTACTAATGTCATTCGTTTTGTGATAAGCAGATGAGCAAGAAGGATGTGGCTAGTTTCTTCCAGACCAAGTACACTTGGGATGCTCTCGCTGCTCGGTCCGTGTGGGCATTTGGACCCAGTAGTAATGGGCCGAACGTTTTGCTGGACGATACGCTCCCTACGGAAGTGGACAAGTCGTCACTGAATATGGTCAAGGACAGCATCGTGCAGGGATTCCAATGGAGTTGTCGTGAAGGACCACTTTGTGACGAGCCAATTCGCAACACGAAGTTCAAGATTCTTGACGCTACAATCGCTTCAGAGCCGATTCACCGCGGTGGTGGTCAAATCATTCCAACTGCGCGCCGTGTTGCCTACTCGGCATTCCTCACCGCTACACCGCGAATGCTGGAGCCCATTTACTCGTTGGAAATCCAGTGCCCAGCCGATACCGTGTCTTCTCTGTACCAAGTGTTGAGTCGTCGTCGTGGCCACATCACACATGACGCTCCTAAGGCTGGTTCTCCGCTGTACACCGTGCTGGGTTACGTCCCAGTGATTGAGTCCTTTGGACTGGAGACGGACCTGCGCGTGTTCACACAGGGCCAAGCTTTCATCACGCAAGTGTTTGATCACTGGGCAGTGGTTCCGGGTGATCCGTTGAACACCGACGTGGTGCTTCGTCCACTGGAACCGGCTCCGGTGAATGACTTGGCTCGCGAGTTCATGATAAAGACTCGGCGTCGCAAGGGGCTGAGTGAAGATGTGAACGTGAGCAAGTACTTTGACGAGCCAATGCTTCGTGAATTGGCGCGACACGAGATCGAGCTACAGCACCTCATCTGAGCTGAGCCACAATCATAACCATCATCGTGGGCTGCTGCATTAAACAGACGAGTGCAGTTCAATGCAGACATTAGATCGAGCAGGAATGGGTGTCCACCGAGTTTCTACTTTGCCGCCACGGTTTTGAAATTGCGCATCTAATTGACGTTGGCTGGTGATTTTGGACTCGGCATTTGCTTTCCAGTGGTGAGCTAACATTGTTTAACGTTGTTGATGGATCAGCAGAGTGACAGCTGATGGTGAAAGCAGATGCAGTTCGGGCTCAAGAAAAAAACGAGGCATCCCTCGGGTCTTTCTATCCTCCTTCCGAACTCAGATGCAAAGCCAACTCCGTTCTCATAGGGCTATAACCTAGGCAGGGGTGAGCATTCCGGCATATAACCGGTGCACGACGGGAAGGGGACCAGTACGTTCATGATCAGACCAGACAGGATGCAGTTTGAGCAGGAGGGTGAGGAGAAGGACGCACACCTCGCAGGTTGATCACGAGATCAAGTCAACAGGAGGTCGTAATGAGAAAAGGCGTCAGCACACGAACTCCTTCAAGGCTGTTACCACATTTGTCGCAAAGTGGTTGGTACTCCTCGCTTACGCTGAAGCTGCCGGCACCGTTGAAGGCAAAGGCGTCACTTCCACATCCATCGGTCCCTTGACTGGAATCGTGAGGGAGAACTCGTACGTGAGCTGCCACGGGTCGGTGACCGTCTTGACATCGAACTTGCTGAAAAGCGTCGCCATGGCCAACTTGATCTCCATCATAGCAAACTTCTGCCCGATGCAGACGTGCCGCCCCGAGCCAAAGCCACTGAAGACGTACGGGGACAGTGCTCGCAACTTGCCCGTGTCGGGGTCAATCATGCGCTCGGGTTTGAACTCGAGCATGTCGTCGCCCCAGGTTTTCGGATTGCGCCCATTGCAGTACGACGAGACCATCACGGTTTGGCCCTTCTGGACGAACGTGCCATCGACCAAGGTCGTGTCCTGCATGGCCTCCCGAACGATGAAGCCCGTGGACGGATGGAGACGGATGTTTTCCTTCACCACAGCTTCCAGGTACACGAGGTTGTGGATCTGCTGATGCGTAGGCACTCGGATGGTCCCATTCAAGAGCCCTGGCAACTTGTCCTTCATCTCTTCCCGGATCTTGTGCAGCACTTGCGGGTATCGGTTCATGTTGACAATGAACCAGGCCATACTATGCGCTGCCGAGTCCTTCCCTGCAAACACAAACGTCATGGCCATGTCGCGCATAATCGTCGCGTCGTCGTCATCGATGTGCACGTCTTCTGTCTGTACCAGTCTCTTCTCCAAAAACAAGGTGATCAAGTCGCGCGCGACCATTGTCTCGCCTTCAGCTGCAAGTCGCGCCTTCTTGTTCATCGAGTCGACAATCACCTTGCTGATGAAATTGTGCATGATCCGCGTGTTGTCCATGAGGATCTTCTCCCAGCCAATGTTCAAGTACTTCTTCAGCTCCCATAGCCACAGTGGCGACTGAATACGCACCCCAAAGGCCACGGACCCTTCGTCGAAAGCTTTCAGGAACTCATGATCTTCTTCCCGATTCGGACTGTTCTTGAGCGTGTCGAGCTCCAGGCCAAAGCCAATCTTGGCAATAACGTCCATCGTCAAGTGGCTCAGCTCCTCCTTGATACTGAACGGCCGGCCCCGCTTGGCGTAAATGTCCAGGACATCTAAGAGGACACCAAGCTTGTCAAACACAGTAGCTTCCATGACGTCCTTCATCATCTGCATGGAAAACAAGTGACTCGCTGTTTTCCGGTGAAAGTACCAGGGATCGCCATCCGCGATGACCATGCCATTGCCGAAAATGTCGTAGCTAATGTACTGCCCCACAGGTCCACGGAGAAAGACATTGTCTTGCGTCACGAGGACATCTTTGAACATCTCGGGCGACGACAGCACAATCGTCGCTGGACGTCCCGGGATTTGAAACATCCACGGTCGATTGTCGAACTCAGTCGACTGTTCATTCAACCAGTCGTGAAAGCGTTCAGCATTACCACCGGCATCCAACATGTTCTTGAGAAGCGGCAAAGTGGTTTTCGGCATGGGCGGCAGCTTTCGAAAGCCCGAGCTCGCGGGTTTCTTGGCATGTTGTGCACAAATACGGTCAGACCCAATCTCATTGCAAGGACAATGGCATATGCAAGAGCAACCTCGTTCTTGTCGAGGAAGAGCTCCGAGAAGAATTTCATGAGACGATTCCGCGTGTGGTAGTGTATGTGAGTGGTAAATTGAAAGCACAAGAATGAGTGAGACGGAGCAGATTCGAGCAGATGGGCGAATCATGAGCAGACGCACAAGTGGAGGTCGAGAAAGTTACACGGACGAGACGTCGAGATTCAGCCCTCGTGTATGTAGATTGGGCCATGAAAGCTCAACACGTTCACGAGCAGGTCTGTCGTTCCCCCATGCCACGAGGTTTTCATTTTGTCTACATGGAAGAATCACGAGATTTCCCATAGTATGCAATGGCGAAAACGAGCGGATCGTTTAATGAGTAGAGACGATGGGGTTGTATATGTGGAACGTGTTTGCTGCCATGAACTACGCAGTCGACAGTAGCCACTGACGCGTTGACGACTACACCACGTCCAATTTCGAGCCAATGTATGCAGCAAAAGCGGAGGAAATAGCGGCAGACGCAGCTGTCTCCTGGTCACGAAGGGATTTGCACTGCAAAACGGACACGCCCAGAAAAGACTTGTTCGTACTACTGTTGTGTTGCAGTTTGCCGTCCGTGATGGCAAGCTCGAACTTGTCAAGTGTGACATCAATGGACGCAGTGGATCAAGGGCGAGGATGCCAATCGCGGTGTCAAGCCTCGAGAGGTTTTGTTACGATGGGTGAAATCCTGGACGGACGACTACTCACAAGGGGATGGTGTCCATCTTGCGTCCTTGCTTCGACTTTGTGCAGCACACAGTTGGACCTCCGAGAGGGGGGTGGATCGACGAGCTGCGGACTCAGTGAACGAATCATGCATGGCGAGCTTACAGGCGTCGAGCTCTAATTTGATCATAGATGCGCTTTCTCAACGACGAATGAAGCACCAGTTGGAGGAAATTCCGTCAGGCGTGCTATACTGAACCAGTAGCAGATTAGAGGTGCATTTATGTGCTAGATCATGTTCCTATGTATCTTGGGGAGGCTCGGGTGATCGTACAAGATTAGTACAGACCAGCGTAGACATCTCAGGTCATTTACTTCCCGGTCGGCAGCCAGCTGCAACAACGGACAAAGACAAAACCCATTGGAGAGCCAGGAAACTCGCCCCCTTGCTTTGGGCGGGAAGTCCTCTAGAGTGGGATCAAGGTAAAAAGGGGGGAGGGTTTCTGCTCGCTGCGGGCGCTACGGGAGGCAGCACAGGTCGTGGAAGTTGAGGGAGTCAACTGCAAGACCTGTTGCAGGTACGTTTCGACCTCACCTGATTGATTGTTACTCTGACAACTTGCTAGGTGGGACACGGAGAGTCAGACGCCACGTCGGGACGACAGAGATGTCGAGCCAGTGGGACCAGGCGATGCAGATGGCATGTGGGATCGGCATATGGTGACATACGGACTGGACGTGCACCATCTGCAACTTGACCAGGTCAAGTTGCAGTGTCGATGAGACGACATGTAGGGTAGTGTAAACGAACCAAGTTAACCCTGATATACTACTTTTGCTTTCAACTACTCTAGCAGAAGTACAAGAAAGACAACTCTCTTTCTATACGCATCACCCTGCAAAACGAACAAGTTCCTACTCTTTGCGGTCTGCCTACAACTCGCCGACACGTTCGTTGAGCGTGAGCCTGGTCCCACGAAGAGATCCCCTCAAGACCATGACGTCTCTCGGTGAGATTCAGTACCGGTTGTTTATGTACAGTAGCACCGAGCCAGATACTCTTCGTCCAGTGGTGCGTCTGAGCACATTTGAGCACGTTGTGAGTTCGAGTCGACCTGAAGAGCAAGAAATGGTCTACGAGGTGATGGCCAGGGATTACGTCAAGATGGCTCGCTGGAACTACCGCAGTGGTAACGGGAGTCCTAGTCATGTGTCCTCTGTCCCCTGAATCAAGTTGCTCCGAGCGCGAGAGCAGCCCCGCCATCTGGTAGAGTGCACACAAGAATGTAACCCCGGACTTGATCAACGGACGGTTTCCACGGGCCCTTTTGGGAGTGCTTTGCCGTGACGCCCAACGTCTTGAGCCAGTAGAATGTGAAAGCTAGGAGTAGTAAGACTGTGCCGTGGTAGATGGCACGAGGTGGTTACCACACAACCAGACATCTCATTAGTGACAAGTAGCTACAAGAGAGAGTCTGAGCCTCTTGCATGCAGATCAGAATAAACAAGCGGCTGGGCTCATCGCTCGCTTTTTCGCAGATTCAAATGAGCGAAAGTAACGATCGTCAGTGCGCGGTGATCAATCAAGCCCACATGTCGTTTACTAGTAGTTTATCCAAAGCATCAAAGCTACGAAGTGACGGCTTGTAGCTGCAAAAGCGACAAGATGCAGCTATCAATGTGACAATTTAAAAAGAATCGACACGGTGTAGCGGAGCGGATGTGTGTGTGTCTTGCTTACTGTGCCATTGAAGGCGCAGATGGACACAAAGTTCGTGTGGACGTTGTCTTCGTCTTGAAGAAAGTATGCCGCGATTATGGCTAATTGTGAGCCCGAAGGGTGAAACTAGTAGTTAGTGTGCGCAAGGTTGAATGCCGAGCTTTTAAATCGTACTTATCTGTGTGTGTTGTGTGTCGGTGAATAACGCGGTTAGGTGTACAGGACTTGTGCTAAATACGATCAAACCTGTCTATGCTTCATAGGTCGATTAGCATGATTGGTGTCACTCTATGGCTAGGTCACTATTGCGATGCACGTACCTGATTAGCTTAAAATCGATCAAAGATAAATATGATCACGTAAGCACATGCTGGACGTTCTAAAGCAAAGGCTGATCGCGTTGCCCAAGGAAACTGTACTGGTTTACGACAGACATAAACAGGATTAAATCCATTCTTGAGTGTCTGCTGTTGTACGGATTTTTGCAACTTGATTCAGTTCTCCGACCGGAACTACTTATACCGAGGGGCGAGCTCCAGAGCGCGCTCCCCTGTTCTTATAACTCGACCAGGTGTTTAAGAGGCAAAAAGGTAACGACGACTTATCACATGGCAATACTAGTTCTATTTGTGAGGGACAAGACAACGTACATCGAAGTACTTCATGATTTTATTTGATTACGGCCATCAGACAAATGCATTGACGAACCCTGTAGACTGACTCGGTGGCGTCATACTAGCAAGTGAACTTGACTTGACATAATCTACGGCCGACCGTATTGATGACGACCATTTGAACGAGAGTGGCGTGTCCAGCCGTTATCGCAACACAGTCTTCCATCGTGTCGTAATCCCGGTTTCAACTGCTTTGCATTACGAGGCCCAAGTACCCTCCACATCAATAATTGCCGGAAAAATTATAAATCATTGGCATCATCACCAAGTTGTCAACGTTAAGTAGAGCAGCCTCTTACCGGTTGAAACCAGCTCTAATAAGACGTCCGGAATATTCACAACAGACACACGAAGAAGTGCCTTTACCCATTCATTTAGAACCACACCATGTGCAATATCAACAAAAGAAGTGACGGATTATGATAAAAAAACGCCTTTAAGTTGCTCAAAACAAGATGGAATACGTCACCAATCCCATTTCCGCTCTATTTATGTTCTTTTTGCAGAGAGGGACGGACCCACCCCTCACGAATTGTCGCAACTGTCCTCTTGTTTTATCGACGGGCGGGTTCCCTTTTGCAACAGCCGCTAATTCGTCGACCTCCTCACGCCATCCACAAATTGAAAAGCATCAATCGCCCAACCGTCGACACTAACCAGCGACATCCGACTATGACTGGACAGGAGCAGCGCCCCATTGCGACCGTGACCGAGGGCCCTGCGCTGGGCAAATCCGGCAAGCGAATCTGCTGCTCGTGTCCCACCACCAAGAAAGCGCGCGATCTCTGCATTGTGAACAATGGCGAGGACCACTGCAAGGACATTATTGAGGCGCACAAAGCCTGTCTGCGCAGTGAAGGCTTCACAATCAAGTAATCAAAAGCCTGGAGGGACTCTTGCAATTGCTCCAGTAGTAGTAGCACGTGGACTGGCGTGCTGGGGACTACTGCACGGTAGTATAGATATGACGCCATGACGACCCTATTGCCATTTCAGCAAGAGAAGAAGAAGAGAGAACAAAAAGCACTGCATAAGCGTGGAATAAACGACGCACCGAGAGATGAGCAACTTGTTGAGTCTTGTGCTGGTTGTCTGCGCTGTCTTCATGGGTGTGGTCCGCTAGAAGGACATGCAGGTGGTTTTTGGACAACTGCTGCTGCTGCTCGTTCGTTCGTCTATAGTCCCTCTTCTTCGAGCGGGATGTAACCACGGGTTATGTGAAGTGCCATGCGATGTCTGTGGAAGGGAATGTCTCGCTGCACGAACGACAGCGGCTGGAACAAAGCAGATTGTAGCCCAAATGCATCGTTTGGTATCAGTTTAGGCTGCATCGACCACAAGGTAAAATGACAACCACGTACGGCGTTTCGAGAGAGGTAGTCTGCAAACATGCACGAGAAGACGCCGCAGTCGGATCCGTTTGTTTGCAGAGGCGTGTCGGGCGTGGTCGTCACTAGTTCCCAACCTTGGTCGTCAAACTTTGTCTTCTTCTTGTGTTCTGACTCGTCGTGTAAGTACCTAGTAGATAGAGAACCGATGACAAACCGTGAGCTAGTTCACCGCGATTGGATTGAGACAAACGGCTACTCACCTCAATAGAACTTTCAGGCATGCGGCGCCGCTTCCGTGCATGGAATCGTAGTACTGAATACGCTTTTCTGCCATAAAGATGACGGCCATGCACCAGTGCATCTTCATAAACGTAACCACTCAATTGTCAGCCTTCAGAATGTTGCAACTGTGAGTAAATGCTGTGTCAACACGTACGTTGCCGACATTGACAGGCATAAAGATCTTGTCCATGGCAAATAAATCAATCTACATCCAAACGAGCAGCAAAGACGTCATCTCCATACTTGATACAACTAAGTCATTCCATGCAAACAAACCTTTCTTGTCCACCGGCGCACGTTGACGAAATTGTAACCGTTTTCCGATACCTTCGTAACAAAAAATGAGTTGAAAAAGTGGCTTCGCTTCGGCAGGACACCAGCATTCACAAGCACTTCATCACGATCGTTCATCATCTGGAAGTAGAAGTTGATCACCTGCTCAAATATATCAACACCGTGAGAAGTAAATACAAATACACAACACAATACCATACAAGGCGCTGACTCCACAATGCACAAACCTCATCGTTTAGCCACTGGAGAGGCAACAAACACTGCAAATTGTGGCGCTTAATGTCCACGTTGTACTTCTGGATAAGTATCTCTTCCATGGGGCCTCCGTGCAGTGCATCTTCGACAATCTTAAGAAGATCCGGAGGCAACTGCTTGTTACGAGTCTTCTCTTCCTCCTCATCAAAGACATCTGCAGCTAGATCATATATTTCTTCCAACAACACTTCCTCCAGAATAATCTACATACATAGCATCAACACCAAATCCAGTCAAAACATCACGAGATGCAACGTCCTCCAGACGCACACCAAACGTAAGTCACAAACATTTAACTCTCGCTCTGCTAGACGATCGTAGAAAAGTTGATCGGTCTTGGATGCGCGCGACAAACGCTGCAATCGGAGTTTCTCTACAAACAACACGCGTAAAACATACAATGTGAGCCTCAGTCACCGCTATGCTCAAGTAGATCAGCATGGTCCGCATGTATACCTTCCAGCTCTGCAATTTCATCATCGCGGGACTTGGCAACCGCGCTGCTTTCTGGCCTTCTGACACTATTTCCAGCAGTCCCTTTGGGCGATTTGTTGTCCTCACGAATTGGCTGCGTAGGCGTCTCTTCACCCTGTCATCACCAAAATACGCTCCCAATCACCACCTTCTCTACCAATTACAGCACGTAACGTCCTCCGAAATTCCCTCACCTTTGTCTCGTGATCAGCATCAACGTGCTCGTCGGCTTTCGTACTTAGTAACTTCGTCACGGAACGAAAGCCCATGGACATCTTAGACCAACGACCCGCTTTGCCGCCGCTCAGTTCTCTCTGAAGTAGCTCGAGTAGGCCCTGGTTCCCCATATTCTGCTCGTGCACGTGGTTCACCACCTTGTCAATCCCGAGCTTTTGCTTCTTCAACGACGGGACGAAATCGTACTCGTCACGGTTTAATTCGTACAACCGACGTCGATATTTGTCATAAGAGACATACTCCGGCTCAGATGTTCGGGACCCCAGAGGAGCTTTGATCACTTCGACGGGGAAACTCTGCAGGAGAGTGTGACTGTAGCGAGACGCGTCCTCGAGGCGTTGCTGGTACCGAATGGCATCCAATGCGACCTGCGTAGATTGCTGAAGTAACATACCAACGTGTTGAGCTCAGTATTCAGACCTCGTTTCAAATGCGAGCAGAGGTTCAGGGACGCCACGCACCATTATTGTATTGACTTTTTCTTCGACTGACAAAGTCAAATGTTCGACTTGAAAAGCCCAAATATCGTACTACAGCTGGTCTGGAAATGTACTATGATTCGACGGTTGTGACGAACTCATATTACGATTGACTACTTTTTCTCAAATCGTGGGAATGTCAGCAAACTTACGGGTTTGCTGTTGGAGCGCCTCTCAATAGTGACAAGTGGTCGAGCACTTGAGCGGCCGAGAAGCGACGACGCGGGTCTTTTTCCAACAACCCGCGAATGAGGTCCTTAATCTCTACCGAGACGGTGTGCCATACTGGAGTCAAAAATGACACAGGTTCAGTCTTAACGCGGTGCAAAATTTCGTCCTCGGTCGAGCTTCCTGTCAGGTCAAATGGGTGGCGTCCGGAAAGGAGAATGTAGAAAATGCATCCGAGTGCCCACATATCCATCGCAGTCGTCATATCCTGGCACTGCAGGACTTCGGGAGACCAGTAGCAACGGGTTCCAGATAAACTGGTCGTGCGCGGTTTGTCGATCGACTCTGGCTGCGACGCACGTCCGACAGAGCCGAGATCGATGATTTTGAGCGTCATCTGCTGTTGTCCACTGAGACTTCCAGTACCATCACGAGCTTCGATTGCCATGATGTTCTCAGGTTTCAAGTCACGATGAACGACATCAGCGTCGTGCATGAATTGCAATGCACTGGCCAACTGAGACACAAGCTGCAGTGACCACGTGGCATCCAGTGTGTGGTGCTTTTCCATAAATGAATGGAGCGAGATACCGGGGACGTACTCAAGCACAATGTAGTGAAAGTCATTGTGGAAATAAGCGCCTCTGTAGCCCACGAGACTTGCATGGCCACCAGCTTTCTCGAGATGCTCGAGCGCGTGCTTCTCCCGCTCGATCTCTTCTTCGTTCCCAGCACTTTTCTGCAGCATCTTGACAGCCGCTACACGTCCAGTTTGCTTGTGGAGACACTGCATCACGATACCAAAAGAGCCTCGACCGAGCACCTTTTTCGGTTCATACTCGGCATCAAAGTACCGCGTAATGATGTTGCTA